GTCATATGGTGTGGAATATCCCTCTGGTCAGTTGGGGTCAGCTGTCCCGGCTGTGTCCCCTCCCAACTTCTTGTGCACCCCCAGCCTGCTCGTTGGTGGGGTGGTGTGAGAAGCAGAAAAGGCCTTGGCTCTGTGTCAGCACTGCTCAGCAGTAACGAAAACATGCCTGTATTATCAAGGCTGTTTTCAGCACAAATCCAAAACACAGCCCCATACTAGCTACTGTGAAGAAAATTAACTCTATTCCAGCCAAAACCAGCACAATGGGTTATCACACTGAAGACAAGTTGGCATTATCTGGTAAGATTTAAGTATGGCCAGCACAAACAATGGTACTGAGGGAAAGATCATCAGGTTTTTGGTGGCCGTTTGTTCCGTGGCTATTACAGTATCTTAAAGAGAGAGTTCAACATATTTGAAAAGGTTTGGTCATGCAATACAGAAATCTTTCCATCTTTTCTTTAATTTCCTGTGTTCTTGTTGTATTTTCATTGTAAAAGTTGGCTTTTTCTATGAGAAATCTGAAGAGAAAATACTTTGCCAGGAATTCTTAAGTTTTGCTTGTGGGATGTTATTTACTGGGCTGGATCCCAGGCTGCAGGCAGTGTAATAGTGGAGTGCCTTCAATGTTTCCCAACACCACTGGCTTGATGTAGGGTTTTACTTCCTCCTGTGTCCTTATGCCTCCTGTGTCCTTATGATATCACTGTGGGATAGTGCTCACTGGGTTAGTAAGGTTGCGTATTTGACTAGTTACCCTTAGTCATATGATTTAGTTTTAGGTAGTTCTCCGAGGAGCAGGGAATTGGACTCGATCTTTATGGGTCCCTTCTGACCTGAGATACTCTATGATTCATCACACTCTTTTGCAACATGCATCTCCTAACAAATCTTGAAGCTGCTTCTCTTCCATGTCTGGAGTATAGGGAGGTTGAAAGGGTTGTTAAGATCTGGACAGTACAGCCTAACAGCTACGCAGGTGTGGCAAGATTGCCTCTGAGATACAGCAGTAGTGCTAAATAAAATGGAGTTGGGACTTGTACTCTCTGGGCATGGCTTGAGGGACAGCATGCCAGAAACCATTCCCAATATGGCAAGACTATACGTAAGAGTGGGCTTCCCAAACTGTATATATTCCTTCACCACTAGCCTAGGAAGCTTTGCCACTTTAAGCGTCTCTACATACTCCCATAGTACGCATATTTCGTTTCATGACATTTTGAGCTTAAGCATTCAAAAGATGTATTAAGTGTGTCTTAGGGCTGCAGGAACACCACGCAGGCTCCAGAGCAGATGAGAGACAAAGTGCTCTGTGTTGTGGTTGCAGCCAGGCCCTGTCATTTGGCTCTGGGGCCAGAGGGCAGTCCCTGGCCCTGTTTTCTTTAACACTGTAACATAGCCTGATTGGATGGCAGCATCAGCTCCCTGAATGTAACCCTGCAAGAGCAGGAAGGGGCCCCACGTAGCCTTACTGTAGTCCCAACAATCAGTCAATTTCTGTGAGAGAAAAGGCGTAATTTAAAAGCTGTTTCGTGGGCCATGTACAAAGGCTCTGTAGGCCTGGTAGTAGGAATTCCTGTTCTGGGCTGTAACTCTGAGGCCAAGCATTTTCTTGAATTTGCTGTCAGGGATGGAGGGGAAGAGAGCCTGGCTGCTGCTTCAGCCAACAGCTTGTGTATCCTTTTGTCAGCATAGTTTATTACAGGAGCATCCTGGGAATGACAGAACCTAAGGTGCTCTCGGTTTCCCCCCCGCCCCCTCTGGAGCAGAGTAAACTGCAAGAGCACAAGTTTTTCTCTGTTATTTTCTTCCTTCAGACCCATGCTTTTCTGGCAAAATAGGTTTTCAGGTTTGGAACTACAAGTTAAACTATCAACTGTAAACAGTGATACTATATTAGATTTTTTACTTGCTAGTATATGCGAGAGCAATGGAAGAACAAAACTGACATAATATCAACTAGCTATACATTTCATTCTACTAAGGTAAATCTAGATGTTAATCAGAGAAGTAGAAATAATACTGCCTTTGATTTGAAATTACAGCTGAGAATTCTTTTCTGGTGCTTATGTAAATCTTTTAAGGGCTTGCTTAGAGAAAACATGTAACTCAGCTAAGCTCAGAAGGACGATCACTCCTCAGTAATTAACAAAAAACCCCTGTTTTTAAAAACTACTCATTTTACTTGTTGAAGAGGAGAAAGGTGCCATAGTCTTACCTTATTTATCCCATTGCTACTGAACTCAAGTATTTGTTTACCATACTGTGACAAGATCAGTAAGGAACAAGCTCTTGCAGTTTTTCTGGCACTGTTGTTCCTCTACAGCTGTGTTATGTTGAATTGCTGTGTTTCGTTTTAGTGAGGGCTTGGTCCTGCCAAATACTGGTCATTCTGAAATGGAGCCTGAGATTTCTTTGCTCTGGTTGACCACATTAGAAGCTGAAGTTATTCAGCACTTCAAGGGATCAAGCCGACATACGTGGTTACATGCTTTCTTTGCATATTTTGTTTTTATGCTTAGACCTTTTGTTACTCATTTTCAAATTAAACAGAAAGGGGGGGGGGAGATATCTGCCCTCTAGCTTTGCTTTTCAAGCCTTGTAATATGCCTAGCTGTCGTGTTTTGGTAGCATGCACTACTTTTGGCTTAATTGCATCCAAAAAGAGTACATAGCTTGCATAAATAATTGATAACTTACTATTATATACTTGTTTATTTTTAGATTTTCTTCAAGAGAATTATCCATCCTTTGATCTAAAGGAAACTGGATATGATTGGAAGGCATGCGTGGCTGCCATAAACAGCACAATCCGCAGTCTCAGACACGACCATAAAAAGGCTACAGTTGGAATCCGCCGGAAAGTCTTGGCAGTGCCATCATTGAGCGCAAAGAGTCCTCCACAGAGTCCCACTTCAGTAAAGCCATTTGAAAGTGACACTATCAATCTCACGGACTGAAGCTCTCTAACATCTGTCTCAAATCTTAATTTAGCAGTTTTTTATAAATCCCACGTAGAAGCCTATTACATTGAGTTGTCCTATTATACTGAGTTGTCAGCAGCACTAAATAGTATTATTTCATGAGACCAAAGTTAGCAGAAGACTTGGGAACCCTAACTCCTTGTATAAGTAGCATTTGTGCTCCTCAGCAATTATTTCCACTGTTCCCTGTAGCATTTGCAATGTGCTCTCCCCTAAAAGCACCTTCTTTTCATGATTCATTGACTCTGAAGGATTAATCTGATTAGAAAAGATGCACTGCGCATTAAGTCAGCAGAGGCAGGTAGAAACGTGGAGAGGAAAGAATGGTCCTCCTTGGAGGAAGACTCATAGCCAGCTAAATTATCTCATTATGTGTGAGAAATGAAATTTGCTTTGACAATTGGATATTTTAAGCAAAAATATCGAATGCAGAAAGGAAAAAAAAAATTATTGCATCTAGCTAACTTGTTACATCTCACTTTTTTTGCCTCCTATAGCAGTCTTTGTTGTAGGATAAGGAAGGAGGCAGACAACAATGTAAGTACAGTTGGTAATATTTTCTTTGCTCTGATTTAGCTCTACAAAAGCCAAAAAAAACCATCCAGAACAAACAGTCCAATGACTGGTTCTGTTTTTTCTTGATGAAAATTAAAGAAAATACTTCAGAGGCTTGGTCTGCTGTTCAGTGGCATATGTCTCATCCACTGGTTTGGATGTCCACAAGATGCAAATCTGCTGCAACTTTCATCTAGAGGATTTGGATCCTGATTCAGATTTGAGAAATAGTAATTTCCATCAGTTTCAAGTCATTGGTCCTTCAGTTAAAACTGAGGACACATTCTGTACTGTTCACATGCAGTCAGAGATGACCAGCATCAGTGGTACGCCTTCTCGAGATCATAATCATAGCCTTTAATACTCAGGTCTACAACGCTAGGCATGTTTGCTTTGCTGTCTGGGTAGGCTGCTGTTCTAGAGACTTGTCATCCTGCCTTAGTTCACTGCACACTTCAAGATTTTAAGTTGTTATTCGGAGAGTCACAGAATGTTTGAGGTTGGAAGGGACCTCTGGAGGTCACCTGATCTGCTCCCCCTGCTCAAGCAGGGCCACCTAGAGCCAGTTGTCCACCACCATGTCCAGACAGCTTTTGAGTATCTCCAAGGATGAAGACTCCGTAGCCTTCCTGGGCAACCTGTGCAAGGGCTCAGTCACTGTCACAGTAAAAAAAAAAAAACCAACTGTTTCCTGATGTTCAGAGGAGAACTCCTGTGTGTGTTTGTGCCCATTGCCATTGGTCCTCTCACTGGGCACCACTGAGAAGATCCTGGTTCTGTCCTTCTGGCTCCGTCCTTTTTGTAACCTCCCCTCAGGTATTTATATACATCCATGAGATCCCCCTTGAGCTTTCTCTTCTCCAGACTGAAGTCCCAGCTCTCTCAGCCTTTCCTCACAGGAGAGATGCTCCAGTCCCTTCTTCATCTTCGTGGCCCTTTGCTGTACTCTCTCCAGTATGTCTGTGCCTCTGTTGTACTGGGTAGCCCAGAGCTGGACCCAGCACTCCAGGTGTGGCCTCACCAGTGCTGGCAACATCCTTCTAATGCAACCCGGGGTACCATTAGACTTCTTTGTGGCAAGGGCTCATTTCTGGATCAGGTTCAACTTAGTGTCCACTAGGACATCCCAGGGTATGCTCTGCCCATCATACAGATCATAAATGAAGATGTTAAACGGGATCATACCCAGTATTGACCCCTGGGGTACTCGGCTAGTCACTGGCCTTCATCTAGACTTTGTGCTGCTGACCACCACGCTCTGGGCCCAGCCATTTGTCCAGTTTCCAATCCACCTCACTGTCTGCTCATCCAGCCTGTACATCCGCAGCTTGTCTGTGAGGATCTTATGGGAGATGATGTCAAAGGCCTTCCTCATTGTCTACCCAGATTTATCCACTGCTCTACTGTCATCTACCAGGCTAGCCATTTCATCGTAGAATTTTATCAAGTTGGTCAACCGTGACGTCCCCTTGGTGAAGCCATGCTGTGACTACTCCTGGTGGTATTCTCCTGGTGGTATTCTTGTCATTCGTGTGCCTGGAGATAGTTTCCAGGGTGAGCTGCTCCATCACCTTCCCAGGGATGGAGGTGAGGCTGACTGGCCTGTAGTTCCCTGGGTCCTCCTCCTTGCCCTTCTTCAAGACAGGAGTGGCATCTGCTTTCATGCAGTCTTGGGGCACTTCTCCCATTCGCCTTGATCGATCAGAGGTTATCAGGAGTGGTCTCGCAATGACATCAGCCAGCTCCCTGAGCACTTGTGGGCGCATCCCATCAGGCCCCTTGGACGTAACGTATGTCCAGTTTGCTTCAGGATTCCCCGACCAGATTCTCTTCCACCCAGTGTGTCTTCCTTGCTGCAGCCTTTCCCCCCGGTCTCTGGGACCTGGGATTCCGGAAGGCCAGTCTTGCTCATAAAGACTGAGGCAAAGGTGGTGTTGAATCCCTCAGCCTTTTCCGTGTCCTGTGTCACCAGGTCCCCTGTCTCGTTCAGCAGTGGGCCCACGTTTTCCCTAGCCTTCCTTTTGTCACCTATGTACCTACAGAAGCCCTCCTTGTTGTCTTTGACATCCCTGGCCACATTCAATTCCAGTAGGCTTTAACTTTAACTTCATCCCTGGATGCTCAGACAATGTCGCTGCATTCCTCCCAGGTTACTTGTTTTTTCTTCCACCCTCTGTATGCTTCCTTTTTGTGTTTTGAGTTTGTCCAGAAGCTCCTTGTTTATTCACACAGGCCTCCTGGCATTTTTGCCTTACTTGTTTGTTGAGATGGATCTCTCTGGAGCTTGGAGGAGGCAATCCTTGAATTTTAACCAACTTTCTTGGGCCCATCTTCTCTCCAGGGCCTTAATCCCATAGGACTCTTCCTAGCCGATCTTTGAAGAGACTGAAGTCTGCTCTCCTCAAGTCCAGGATTGTGAGCCTGCTTTTTACCTTCCTCTCTCCCCTCAGGATCCTGAACTCCACCATCTCATGGTCACTGCAGCTAAGGCTGCTTTTGACCTTCGCATTCTCAACAAGCCTCCTGTTGTAGGTGAGTGTGAGGTCCAGCAAAGCATCTCTCCTTGTTGGCTCCCCTATCACTTAGAAGAAGTAGTTATGGTCAATAATAAATATTTGTGCCCTTGCCATTCCTTTCTGTCCATGCAACACTAAGATTTATTAGTGCACTGAATTATATATTAAAAAAAAACAAAACAAACTAACTTTGAAAATTACTTGGGTGTTAAACTCATAAAAAATAAATAAAAATGAATGACTATATATATTCAATTTCACATCCCCCTCAGTTTCATTTGTAAGTTGAAATTCAACAGCAGTAACTGTACAGAAGTTAATGGCGGGGGGTTGTGGGTGGGTTCTTTCTTTGTTGTTTGGGGTTTTTTGTGGTTTTTTTTGTTTGGGGTGTTTTGTTTGTTTTCAAAAGAGGAAGTATTCGGTATATGCCTTTCTGTTACTTGTTTTTCCAGCATCAGTCACACAGTCCTCTCACTGCCTACGTGCTGGCTGACTGGTGCGTGAACTTGCCTTGCCACTTGCGTTATGTCTGAGCGTCGTCTCGGATGTCCAGCTTTGTCACAGAAAGAAGCTTCTCAGAAGGCTGACACAGGGAACCAGTTTCACCTCTGAAAGTTGATGCAACTGTGGCTTCCAAAATTATGCCTGTGTACGTAGCAGAACAAGATATAACTAAATCGGTTCTCTCCAAGGCAAAGGTTTCATGGTTTGTTTTTTTGTTAGCAATAGGATAAAATAGTGAAGTTACTTGTTGTCACTTTAACTTCTATTCATTACAAACAGGCAGTGTTTATTATATACAGTATAGGATCAGCTTTTTTATTGCAAGTTAGGATATGCAATGGCCTTATCAGATATGAAATTAGTAATTTAAGTTTCCCCTACCACTTCCTTGCAGAAGTCTTCTGTAGGATTTAAGAAATAGGCTGAATTTCTGATGTGTTGTTGGTTGTTTTTTTTTTTTAAACTAGAAATGTTTTAACTGTTCTATACAATCGTTCTTGTGAATGCCAAGAACTTTATTGTGTGTAGCTATTACTAGTTCCGAACCTCAGAAAAAGCCAAAAATGCTTATATTTTTTCAGTAGTTTTATGAAACTTTTTCACTGTCCTTCACAGATTTTAATGGTAGAATGATATATTTATTGAATGACATGTCTGGCACTGAAATCTGTTAGTGTGGTGCATACCTATAGCTTCCATATTGAAAAGAGAATTGAATAAAAGTAGAAATAGTTTTCTTGTTTCTGTTTCAAATGTATCAATTTTTGCTAACTTTTATAAAATAAAATTACGGTATTTTGCTGTTAGGAATAAAGTATTTTACAAATAAAACTAGCATATAGCTCCTTGACTACATACGCGTGTCTTAAATATTGCTTGCACCATGGATCTACAGTTCAGGTACAGTTTCATCTGAAAAGATTCTTTTGATCTCCTTTCAAGAATCAGGGCTTTGAGGAGATCTTCTGATTGAGGTGAGATGATTTCCAAATTTAGACTGCCTTAACTGATTCAGTAAACCAAAACGAACTCTTTTGGACTTAAAGCTGTAGCTGACAAGTACTGTGAGCTATCTGAAATGGAGATTTCCACAAAAGGGTAGGAGTTGAGTAAAATTTTTAAGAAACTCCTTTAAACTGGTGCATTTTTAGTAGACTAAACCTTATTCACGCAGTCGAATCAGTTTCTGTATTAGTCCTCACTCAAGGAATAAAACAGGGCTGGAAGGTATCTGTTCAGGCATCTGTTCACTTGAAACACTGAGAATTCGACACCTGTCCTCCATCTTTGCAGTCCTGGTACCTGTCCCCAACGCAATGCGAGTCCTTCCTCTACCGTAGAGCTGGGCTGTTTTATTCGTGCGTGATTGACGTCTCTGGGTTTGAGATGGTATTTCATCGTTCATCTGGTACTTCTGGCACCAGACTTGACAGCCCTCTAATCTCGTACTGTTCGTGCCTAGGATCTGGTGCACGGTTCCTGATAACGTGTAAAATGTTATGCTTCCTTGATGCATCTGTTGTAGCCTTGTGTGCGTACAGTATTTTGATAGATATATTAATAATTACATGTATAACTATGGTATGCAAAAAGAAAGTATCTTTTTATCTATATTACAGAAGTATAAAACTACTTCAGTATTAATTTTCATCTTAGGATTGACCCTAGACATTGGCAGTGATACAGAAATAAACACCATGACAAAATTCCATCCCGGCCTCCAGTTCTCGCTTGCAACCGTTGTGGAATTCCGCAGAGGTTTTGTGTACGCCAGGCCTGCAGTACTGGGTCTTGCTGCGTTAGTGGTCAGATCCTTGCTCCTATAAATAAATCTTCCTGCAAGAACACCACCTT